TAGGAAATCTAATTACAAATGTGCATGTTATTGGCATGTAGAGAAATAGTTTTTCTGTTAGTTAGGAAAAATGATTCTTGTTAAGTCTTATTCAAGTGGGCTATTAAAATTCATGATTTAATTTATGCTTATTTTATTAAAGCATAGAAGTAAATGTACATACACAATGAACTCACTCTGTTAAAACACCCCAGATTTTAATGTTAAAAACCTAACATCATGTACAACCAGAAGAGAAAAAAAATCTAGTATTTCATCACTACCCCTAACATTTTGTTCCTAGTGGGGCATGTGGTTTTGTCAATACTTCTGATCAAAGAGGTGAAAATTTACTGGAAAGGAAATCTAGAAACGGACTAAAAAATATATATACCAAAAATCTTCTGGTTCTGGCATTTGTGCCTCTGCAAGTGCTGTTTCTCCCACTCTCCTCAAAACCCCTCGCCTCCAGTTTATGCCCAGGTAACTCTCGCAACATCTTCTAGGTCTCAGCTCAAACATCCTGCCAACTGGAAATCTCCCTGGAGCTAAGACCAGACCTCTGGCTCTGTACTGCTGCACTCATTGGCTGGTCTTTTCTTGTTTGAAGTATCACCCCACCACTACCCTCCACTTGTCAGTAACCTCGGAAAATGTATATTGAATGAAGGGCCAAGGGTCAGATCGTATGATAAAAATTGCATGTGTTTTAAGCATTATTTTTTTTCTTTGTGGGTTTCTAATAGATACTAAGGATTTTTCCTACTGAAAAAAATAAAAACAGATATGAAATTTTATATAATTTTTAGCATTATGGATTAGAGGGTTTAGAAGCCCTGCACTAGATTGTAGTAAATTCATGCTATTAAATTTTTTTAGTAAACAACCATTTGGCTTCCCCTGCCAAAATGCACAATGGGACATGTACCATTTTTTTTATTCAGACAGGGTGGGTTTAACTAGCTTGCAGTGATATTATTGAGTAAAAGCACCTTACTAAATGTCAATGGAATTATCTCAGCACTTTCCACAGTCACTGATAACAAGTCCCATATAACAAACATTTTCCATTTCATCTTCAAGGGATTTTTCCTGCTTATTGTATTTTACAGCAGAATATTCCCTATTGAATGGTAAAATCTGATCCCAAGTCTTAATGCATCCTGTCCTTTGGGAAATGTGGTCACTCTAAGTGCTATCTGGCTTTGAATCCCATGTCCCAGTTCCTCAGGAACAGCACTGTCCTTTAGCTACTAGTACTTCACACTTGTTTCACAATGGCCTCTGACATTTTTGTTTCATCTCTTTACTTTGACTGATGAGGGCAAGGGCCATCTATTTCTTAGTTCTTAGAACTGGACTTTGCAACAATGGATGCCCAATAAATATTTCTGACCAAGTGACAGACCAAAATACATTCCTTGCATGTAGTGCAGAATCATTACTATACTCACAGATGTCTCATCCAACCGCTTTCTTTATACATTACAGTATATATGCCAGATATTCTAAATGAACACTAAAGCAAAATGCAACTACCTGGGGAAACCTCCAGAGTCAGGCAGTAACAGCATGTATGAAGTCTACCAGCACATACAACTGTCTACAGAAATCCTAACAAAGCTTAAGCAAAGGTTCTCTTCTCAATATGACTGTCCCACATATCATTTCTTTAGAGTCTGTCTCTTATTATCTGTATTTGAGAAGGAAGTTTTGTAAGTCAGAAAAGTAATTTCAAAGTTCACAGTTGTCTTTGTAACCCATACAATATATTTTATCATATTAAACTCACCATCTGTATATCATCTCTTTATATTAGGTTCTCTATCATTAAAAGGTTAAGAAGGAAAACAAGTTTATCTTGATTACTGAATTTTATTTGTAACCAATTATTTTCTTGTTTATACGGGTACAAGAAAGGACAAGGCTAAAACATGAATTTAAGCTACAAATGTCCTACTTAGTCTGTCAGGAAAACTACCTAGTTTAGACTGCTCTAGAAGGTTAGATGTAAAAACAGAAATATACAGTGAAATGGCACTATATTTAAGAATGTGGCTTCAACTAATGCAGCTCAAACTACTGCTCCATGAATAACTATTACACAGATAGCTAATAACATTTCTAGGGTGCTTTATATTAGTTATCCCATTTAATCCTCCTAACCTACTCTCAGGTAGGTACCAATCCTGACTACTTGCTATTCCCTGGCTCAGCCAGCTCACCATACACATGCTGTTTGAAATAACCCCTGAACCTATGCCTGCCTGGGGATCACCCAGTAATCATACACTGTCCAGCCCAACTGTCCATCTCACTTTCTGGATGAAGCCTTTCCTGAATCTTCTCTTCTCCATGGAATCAATCCTAGGCTCTTGTCTTTAGGGAAATTCTATTTATAATGGAAGACTTGTAAATTCACTTCTGGTTTAAAAAAAAAAGTATATTACAAAAAATGGACAGAGAGATCACCTCCTTGACCACCAACCAGCACTGAAATAATGAAACAAATGTCTTTATTTCCATGTATTTAAGAGTCAGGCCAGGCAGAAGCTCTAGGTCCAGGCCTGCACTGTGGTCTGCACAGAGAAGGGCAGACACTCTGTTTTCAGAAAACAAAAGTTGAAAGCCGTAAGGCTTCTACTGCTGAGGTCACACACAGTCTACATTATCCTCTTAAGAAGGCACATTATGCTTTTTGCCTATTTTCTCCTGTGGGCATCAGAAGGCCCCACTGCAGGATTTGTGTTGTCAGATGTCTTTCCCTCTATGAATTAGCCAGGAAGAACTCTGAAAATGCCTGTGTGTCCAGGCAAAGGTTGGCTCCATTTTGTCAACAAGGTGAGATCCACATTATCACCAGCCAGGCGATCACCATTTAAATGCTGATAGCTAAATCAAACCTAACAATTTAATACTAAAGCAGATGTTTCTTGGGTCCAACTGACTGCTTGGACATCCAGAGTGAGCCAGTGGAGCAAGGAAATAAAAGCCCTGTAAAGCACCACCTGGTCTCCTCCATCCCTAAACCTCCAGATGTTTGCCTGGGCCTGGGCTTTATTATTTCCATTTCTAAGCATGTGAAATCATCGCTTCTCTTGCACAAGGCAAAATTCCAAGAGTCAGTGTCAGCATTTCTCTATTTTCCTCCACATCCTCTATAGTGCTGGGAACTTCCTATTTGTCAGTTTTCCCTTGTCAAAGGATGGACTACTCATAGCTTAGCTTGCAGCCCTCACACACTTTCTATCACAGGTTTCTCCGTGAAGAATTCAAACAGCACCACTACAAATCCTACGTGAACCAAACAGCTCACTTTTGCTCACTCATAGATACCTTGCTCGAAAACCAAGTATGTCTTCAAAGTACTAAAATTGTTTTAAAAATTATTTTTGAGACACAGACACCCTGGATATTATAATTAAGGGAATATTTCATATTGCATGACTTTCAAAATGGATGGCAATATTTTTTAAAACAAAATGTGCAAATTCGGACATGTGCCAAAAGATTTCTTGGTAGCCTTCTAAAAGTATATTTTTCTTCCCTAAAGATTCGTAAGGCTCTAGTGGTTGTTTTACACTGTACTGGGCATTGTGTGGAATTCCAGTTGATGTCTTCTAGCCCTTGTAGCTAGCTGTCTATCTGACAAACCAATTGCTAAAAAATGCAAACGGTCTGAAAAACTATATAAACATTACTCTGAAGGACACACCCTAAATGAATGCTTTGTTCTGTGATATTAACCCTCTCTAAAACTTTCTCAAGGCCAGGTCTAAGTAGGAAAATAAAATCCTTTTCAGACACAAAGGGTAAAATCTGAGTCATGATAACATTACAACACAAGGTCAAGGGCAACCACTTTTCCCATCCTGATCTGCTATGTGCGATTCACCTTATGCCATCTGTCCTGCAGATACACCTAAATATTGGGCAGATGTGTATGAAAAAATTCTACTCAAATGTGAGTATTTCTGCCTTCATTATTTTAAGGGTGGAGCATAAACACTACCTAAGAGACTGCTATATAAAAAACAAAACAATTTACAGCTATGACTGTAATTCTCTTCTTTGTGGTACAATGAAGGGGTAGAAGTGGAAAACCTCTTGCAACTTAGAAAAGGTCCTGGAAGAAAGTCGTAAGTCAAGAGACCATGAAGGTCTCAAAGGTACTGACAGTAGAAATTTCAAATGGGTCATCACAGTTACCATTAAAAAACAATGGTCAAAAAAAAAAAAAAAAAAAGATGGTATTTAAACTCTCAAGCCCCATAACTTTTTGGGGTACTTACTCCCTCTCCCCCCCCAACCACTGATGCCCCCTTGCATGTAATATTAAAAACAAATATATTTGTGTACCTTAAAAAAAAAAAAAGGCCAATAGATACCACAGATAGGGATGACTTTATTAATGATGTTTAACCTTTTCAAGTCATTATGCTTTTCTAATAGTCCACATTCATTAAAAAAGCATGGAATGTAAAACTGCTTTTTCATCTAACCTAAAAATCCATATTATTATAAAAAAGATGTTTGACCAAATATTTTCTAGATATCATAGCCTGTTTAAATTATATACTGATATCCACCCCCCTCCATAAAATACCCCTCAAGTGTTTCAACTGTATCATGTACAATCCTATAATTATAGTCAGGCTGTCTTAACTTACTCTCTTAAAAATCACTGTGATTTCTGTTTTGATATATAATCAAAATAATAGCTTTTTCATTATCAATTAAGGTCAGATATGACAAGTGACCTCAAATGTTCTCTTTAGAGACTTAAAGACAAAGAACTCAAAACAAGCACCAGCATCTTTTGGAAGGATACCTTAGGGGGCAGGGAAAAATATTTCTTTCCAGTGAAGGAGAAAAGGGGAGCTGGGTGGTGGGCAAGGATGACAGGTTTCAGGGTTGTGAGCAGCTTAGAGGATGGGTTCCTCCTACCTCTCCCTTGCCCTCCCAGCGCCGTTAACAATGAGGATGCTGGTGCGATACTAGGGGACCGGGTCGGACCATACCTTCGTGGGTAGGCTCTGGGTCAGGTGTGAGTGAGATGTCATCCAGCTCTCGCAGGCAGAGCCACTCTCCATCCATAGACACTCGGAATTTGCAAAGGTAGATAGTCTCCATGGCAGCCTGTGTGATCTTGTCAGTGGTCGGGGTTGGCATATCGGTTGGAGGCGTCAGAGCAGACATGATGACTCAGCTGAGACCACAACACACGCAAACACACTCGCGCACACACACACACACACAACAGAAATAAATAAAACCTCCTCACCCAAAATCGCCAAATCCAAAGCTCTGGAATAAAGCTCTTAAGAAAAGGGATGAGGGAGGCTTAAAGAAAAATACAAGGAAAAATACCTTATGGTTTAAGAACCAACTGTTCAAGATAAACAATTCTATACTATATCTTCTCACTGACGGTTCCTACCACATAGCAAAATAAGACGCTACTTGTCTTCTTCCAGCTTCTCTCCTTCCCTTCCCTACGCCCTTCTTTTTCAGCTGAGCTATCGGCTTTAAACCCTGCCCAGCTAATGCCACCTTAACTGGCTTCAAAAAACTGGCCTCTGCATGAATAAGTGAAAAATCCTCCTCCTTTGTGCAGGAAAAAAATACGAAAGAAAAAAAATGAACAAGAAATAAACCAGTATTATTTCCAATTTAGCTTAAAAAAAATTGTGAGCTGCAGAAATCACTTCCAGGATCTGCTCAGATGAGCAGGGATGCTGAGTTCTAATAGGATTGGTTGTGCGCAGTAAGCAGGGTGTTGACCAAAATGGCTGACTAATGAACTGATCTGAAAATTCAGGCTCATGTGACCAGCAGCTCTGAACGTAGGGTGAGCAATTCCCAGGATGCTTTATAGATGCTGCTGATGCAGGGAGAGCAATTAGGCTGCTTGCTCTCATCCTGCACAACCCACTTCCAGACTGTGCTAGTCAAACTATGACCAGACATAACACAATGCACATATCTTCATCAATTCCCCTCACTTTGGGATAAAAGGGCTGGCTAACAGGAGGACAGTTCATACTGGGTAATACTCCACAGCAAAGATGGTAAAGAGGCAGTTGGATTAATTTAACCAGTGCACGATTCGCTTTTTTCATTCTGATATACCTAGCTAATAAAATTCTTTACCCTGCTAAAGGTTGTGTTTTAAGAAAAGCTAAAGCAGATTTCAATTTCAATATCATACTCTCAGGCATTTAAAATTTCCTTCTCCAAGATACAAAGACCTGACTTTTTAGACTGGAGAGACAAGCAAAAAAAAAAACGATGTTAAAAAGGTAAAATCCTTCCAGATTAATGGCAATTCCCCCCACCTTTTGATGTGGTGTATTTACCAAGCTTCTGCATTAAGTATGCATTAGGTTCCTAATGAGGAGATAAAACTATGTTGTATTTTAAAAATTCTCCCACCCTAGAACATCCTAAGGGGACAGTATCATATCCTCTCATACCAACCAGCCAACTCACCCATCCTGCCACCAACACACATAAATCTCTATTATCAGTGAGGCACTCATACCTTGGTAGCAAAAAGTTAGGTACGTGCTTTCTGAGCTACATAAATAACAAGGAGGTAACAGGTGATAAAGATTTGCTTTGAAAATGTTTTGGACAATTGAAGCATTTCTTCTATTTAAGGGTCTGTTTTGGGGGGAACATACAACTTCAAGAAATATATCCCAAGATGACCTATTCCATTCTAGACACTTCTTATCAGAGGGATACCTTAATTAATTTCAGAAAACTAAAAAAAAAAACTCCTTGAATATTAAGATTTCAGAAATGCTTCATTCTAATTTGAGATAGAGCTCAAAGAAAAAAATGCTACGAACCAGATTCTGTGAGTAAACAGGCATTTTCATATTGTTAGAGGGAAGGCAAACTGGTGCAATGTAAAAATGCATATACATATATGCTTACTAATAATTAGGAAGAAAATCTGCAAATTATTAAGGAAAATAAAATATTTCAGGTTTATTCATTTCTATTTAAATCTCTTCCAAGATTATCCTACATCTGGACCCAGAGCTATTTACTCATTCAGGGAATATTTATTGAGAGTACTCCACATGCCAGGCAGTGATCCAGGCACTGGTCATGCAGGAGTCAGACAAGGTACTTTTTCAAGGAAGCAGAGTTTATGTATCCAAATACTGAACACAAGCCTCATTTAACACATTCACATTTAATTAGTTTGATTCCTTTCTAGCCTGACACATTTCCATCTTATGCATTAAAACTTAAAGGGGACAGCTGACAGTTTTACTTTAAGCCATGCAATAGTTCAAAACATAGTAAGCAGTCATTAAAACCTTTAAATTAAACTTACACGGAATAGTTCCTGGAACCACAGCACCAAACAGCTCTGGCTATCTGTATACACCATATCAGGACTCTAGGTCACTGATAAATTCTCAAAACACAGAACAGTGAACACATGAGTAAATCTGAATGCTCTGGGATTCACTGCCTGGGGTCCACGAATTCCCAATTCAGCCTGTCACAGATCAAGACAATCTTTCCACCGACCAACCGATAAGCACTTACTAACCTGAAGAGGAGGTCTGGACTGATTACAACATACCAGTACAACAAGAACATTAAGGTCTCTAAGCAGAGAAACTTGGTTTATGTTCTGGCCAAAGGTCCTCTCCACATAGAGGGCACAGGGAGGGCAGACCAAAGCAGCTAAACTTTTGCCAAGGAGAGAAAAACCTGCCTGCACTGGTCATCTCTCAGTTTCCCATACCTATCAGCTTGAGGAGGTACTGGCAGTCCTTTCAGAAATCAGAGCTATGCATAGGCAGGGAAACCTGTACTTCCACTAAGTCACCTGTTTGCAGGTGAAAACACTTGAGTCTCTGGCGGGTACAGTTAGCTACTCATTGTTCATAAACAATGACTTTACTATGAAAACAAGCACTATTTGTAGAAGACTAATAAAAATAATTCTAAATATTGCTTGTATTGCTTTTACATTTGGGTCTTATACTAATTAAACATATTGGCTCAGAATATAAAGGTAATATTGTCACCAGTAAGATATACAAGGCTTGAACTTTTTTCTCATAAACACACTAATCCTAAACTCTCTTGAACTATTTTTTTCATTTGAGCCCACTTGTGAATAATGGCACACATTTGTTAAGATAGTTGTGAGGAGTGCTGAGGTACAGTCTGTGGCCCTGAAACAGAATTAATGGACCTATGTGAAATTCAAATCCAAGATGACGACTTGAATAATACTGTGTTCTAGCTGCTTACAGACTGAATTTTCCACATTATGACTGATTGAACGCAAACAAGATTCACATTTCTAAATTAGAAGTTACATTCCTTTCAAAGTATTATTTACTCAAGCTACTATTAAAAGAAAAAGGCTGATTTGTCATGCCCAATGTCCTTGTCATACAATATGGGAAAATTATTATATAAAGTAGGTATTATCTACTGACTTTCTCTTTTCTGGTAGGTGCTTCGTAAATATTGTACCAAATGCTCACAAGAATCCTGCAAAATAGATATTGATATCCTCTCTTTACATAAAAGGAAACCAAAGTTGAGCCAAGTAACTGGCCCAAGATCACACAATTAGCAAGTGGCAGCTCGGATTCAAAGCTGCTTCTGTGTAGATGCCCCCAAAGTCCATGATTTCTTCTTACTTTGCAAACATCAGTACTCCATCCCAATGATTAAATTTTATTCAGAGAAAATAAAAAGAAACAAAACAAAAAACAAAGTAACACAGGCAAAGTCCTCATGAAATCTCCTAAAAAGGAATTTCAACAAATTAAAGATTTGCAGAAGAGGAAATAACTAGGTTCACACTTTACACCTTAAGGCTTCACCAACCATATATTCCACTTAGTTACCCACATACATTTAGTTCAGGTTTTCAATAAATGGGAATTTTCTGAGAAACCGAAATTCCAGCATGGATCTTCCCTGCTATGTGCTGGGTAAAGAGTAAACCAAATTCTTTCTGACCATCCTGAAGAACAATGTCACTTGTTTATTCCCACACCAAGAGCTGAGAAATCATCTTCCTGAGGTCCCTCCGCATACTCAGTGGGACATGAAGACACTTGACACATTTGCAACCGTGGAAAGATAAATGAAGGGGGGAATCATTTTATAAAATGACTCATTTCAGAACTTCTTTAAATGGCAAACTTCAATGTACGACTGTAATTCTTAAACAAATATACCTGATAACCATGAAATGACTGCCCAACTGGAGAAATGGATCAATTGAACACTTACATGCTCCTGAATTCTTATGTCACCTTTTGAGGCCACCACTTCTGAATTTTGTGCAAATTGTCACCTTATTTTAAAAATATTATTATGAATATATAGATGCCTAAACAATATATTTAGCTCTTTTTAAAGACGTTATAGAGAGGGTTTCATCCTGCACATAGCCTTCTAAGCCTTTCATTCAGTACTGCATTTTCTAAGATTCCATCCACACTGTACTGTGTAGCTGTAGTTTATCCTTTTGGCTGCTGTATTGTAAGGTAATATTCCATTGCATGTAAACAATTTTCGGAACCATTTTATGTTAATAAGCATTTGGGTTATTTTGAATTTTTTCATTTTTAAATGACATTTAGATGTTTTTTAGAAATAGATTTCTGGCAGGTATGCCAATTCTTCTTAACAGGTTTGAGAGAGAGATCATTTCACGTATTTCTTTCAGAGTTAATTGTCTCTTCCTATTACCCAGTTCCTATTCTGCACATAACAGTGCTTCCTAAGACTTGCTGACTTGTACAACTCTGTCAGTTTGTAAAGCTTACAAGTTGTCTCCCAAAGCTTCCTGGATCATGGTTTCACAATTTAAGACAAAAAAACCATTCCCTGCTCAACACATACACACTACTTCACTAGCTGCTCTTAAGCACAAGAGTTTCCTTTATGAATTATCATCATGATAACATTGGTAGAAGAAAGCCAAATGTTTTTGCTAAATTCTAAGATTATTCGATTGAATGATCATGATTTTTCACATGCTCCAGTCCCCCCATCTCCCTTCTTTCTTACTTACTTCCCTCTCTCAGACAAAAACCTACTTTATCTCCCCTCTGACCCTAAGAGTTTTACCATTTTTAAGTTAATGCACTTGGCTGGCTCAGTACTACTTTGTAGTTATTAATCTAGGGTAATAATAAATACTATAAATTGATTGTACCTGACAAGCCTATTTATCATTATTTTGTTAGCAATAAACACAAAGAAATATTACAATGCATTATCTTTTTGTTAAAACTAACCAGCATAAGACTAGAATTAACTCCTATCTTACTAAAACTGATTTCATGGCCAATGATTTACAGATGTAAAGCTACCAGCAACTTAGCGGATGATCTTGGGAGATTTATCCTCCTTTTGGCTCAATCTACTCAGCTATAAAATGAAACTTAAACAGCTAGCTTCACAAAGATCATAGGCTCCCCTAAGAACTCTTCCCACTTTGCACACCATTATACATCTGCTCAAAAGAGTACCTATCAAACACCACACTCTGAATAGATAATTGTTGGTATAGGTAGGTAACTCTGCTGTCTGTACTCCTGTAGTGGTATATTTCCACTCTGATTCACTTCAACCAAGAAAACCTGCAAGTTCTATAAAATCAAGCCATATTTATGTCCCGACGAACAAGTCATTCTTACACAGCTTTATTCATTTGTGCATGTTTAGATCCATTCATTTAACACATACTGGGCACCTCTATGTGCTAGCCATTAGGGATATGAAAAGAACAAGGCAATAGGCAACAAACTACACGTGCTTAAGAAATTCTTAGATCCTTGTCACTGATGGCTATTCAGTGTTGCTTACACACACAACTATTTTCTCTATAAAATTGGTAACTTGTGAATTTCACATACATTCATTCATTCATTTTTAGCAAAATGGGCTTTACTGAGTAGAACAAGGAACTAGAAGAATGCTGCTGCCTGAACAGGAGTCTCCCAAGTCAGGATGGAATTCCAGTTGCGGGAGGCAGTGGATTCCAGCTAGGAGAGGCTGAGAGAGCATGTGGGCTCAGGAGTCAGAATACCCAGAGTGATCCTACTTCCATCCACCACTCAGAAGCTGAGAAACCTTGGCAAATTACTTGTGTTTGTGCCTGTTTTTTCACTGACAAAAAGGGGATAGTGAGACAGAGACCATGATGGGCTTAGACAGTAGGGTGAGAGCCTTTGGTAAAAAACAAAGCAAGATAATCCATTGTGGGATTTGCTTTGGCCTGCTGGGGGGGCCCAGCTTGTTTTTCTGACTTTACAGCAGGTGCTGCTTTTCTTCCTCCAGCCCTAAACAAATGATTTGCAACCTAGGCAATATAGCAAGCAAGCCCAAAACAATGTAG